TAAGCCCACCGTGTCCGGGACACGAACCGGGGTCGACTACGTGGGAATCCAGCGACATAGCCATTACGCTAACTGCTGGTTCCCTCCTCTCGGGATCTTGGGCACACACACACACGCGCCTGGCATGAGTTTAAGCCACCGGGTCCAGGACTCGAACCACGGTTGGCTATATGGGAGTCCAGTGACATAGCCATTACGCTAAATGCTGGTCCTGAGACCCATGGCTTTGAGGAACACACTGGGTGTATGTATGAGCATGCCCGAAATCCCAAAAGGAGAGGGGGATGGAGAAGGGACTGCGGTGTGAGTATTCTCTATGGGGGGAGGGGAGCTTTCTTCTCTCCGTCTGTTACTCTGTCTCTCTTTGGTGAGCACATGTGCCTTCTAGGGCATGTGTACACGCACTTGCACACACACACACACACACACACACACACGCACAGGAAAAGTAACAAGGACAAAATCTATATCCATATCTCTTGCATTTCTCTTATAAACTCTGTGGGTAGGGACCAGCACATGGCATGGCGGTTAAGGAGCTGGACTCCCACATGGCTGCCCATGGTTCTAGTCCCAGATCTGGTGGCTTTGCTTTTTCACTTTGCTTCTCTCTGGTCAAATTAAAAATTAAAAAAAAAAAAAAATTAAAATTTCAGAGGTCTTTTCTGGTCTTACGGCAGATGTGCTCAAGAGAGAGAGAGAAACGGACAGACATAGTGAGAGGGAAAGTGAGAAATCCCCTCTACCACTTGGGCGGATGGCCACGCCACAATCCCTTCTCCATTCTCTTCCCAAGATCTTGGGCAAACACGCACACGTGCCCGGTGTGATTTTCCAGTCACTTGGTCTAGGACTCGAACCACAGTCCACCAACATAACCACTATGCCATCTGCTGGTCCCAAAATAAATCTTTTTTTTTCTTTTTTTTTGGAGAGGTTTTTGCTATAGAGCGCGTGCACTCGCCAGACAGACAGAGACAGACAGAGAGACAGAAAGCGAGAAATCACCCCCTAGGGGAGATGGCCACACCGCAATCCCTTCTCCTCCATTCTCCTCTTGGGATCTTGGGCACACATGCACACACGCTCGGTGTGAGTTCAAGTCACCGGGTCTGGGACTTGAACCGCGGTCGACTACGTGGGAGTCCAGTGACATAGCCATCAGGCTAACTGCTGGTCCCAAACTTTTTTTTTTTAATTAAAAACAAAAATAATAAAAGGCAACCATTACCTTATCACAGTAACTTGCTGAAAGCCCCCTCTGTGGTTCCCCGTGGTCCCCCTAAAACTCCCGTGTCCCTTCCCTTGGCCCTAAAGACCTGACTTGGTCTGCACCCTGGGTCTGTCCCAGCAGACTGGGGGTCCGTTCTGACCACCTCCCCATGGACCCCACATCCAGCCCCCATGCCCTGCCCCAGCCTTTTCCCCACCAGGAGTGTCCCCTCTCTGTCACTTACAGATGTTCCTCCAGCTTCCTCTTGAGCAGGGTGGACTGTGGGAGAGATGGCAGGAGGTGAGTGGGTGAGTCCAGAGATCCCAGCCCCTTCCCCCGGCGAGGGCAGGGGTGCCTCCTGGGCCCACGGTACTTACAAGTGCCTGCACCAGGCATCGGACAGCAGAGGAGAGAGAGAGGAGGGTTACTAGGGGGCACGAGGGAGGGCCAGGCAGGGAGGAGGTGAGCACTCACGTCCTCAGTCTTGCCCCCCTGCTCCTGTAAGGCCTTCTGCAGGTCCTCCACCTGGGCCCGCAGCTCCGACAGCTGCTGCTGGTTCAGCCTGCGGGGGTGCGGGGCCGCTCAGTGTCTGCACCCGCCCTCACTCTCCCTCTGAGCATG